TAGGTTTATGTATCTATGTCATGCTATGAGAGAACTTCGGAAAGATTAAGAAGCAATGTCTTATTTTTGAAAAATTACAAATAGATTTAGAAACTTCTTCTTTTTGTTTTTCATTGTAGTCCCTTAAATGTCCCTTAAATGTCTCTAAAATGTATTTCTTGTCCCTAAATGTGTGGAGGGGATGGTTTAGGAGCAGATGCAAAATTTTTGCCAGGATTCGCACGGTTTCAGGGTTGAATATTGCAAATATTTAGAAAAACTTATATTTCTGGCATAAAAAGAAACTTTGAAGTTCAAACAGCTAAATTGAATTTAAATTTATAAAGTTAACAGAGTTGGAAAACTTGGTCTTTGTTCATGTGAAAGTAATGTTCTTCTTTTTGCCAATTTTTTTTGGCAAAATAAATATAGTCCTAGACAAATTGGATGTGAATTATAAACGGGGAAATGATAGTGCTGCGAAAATTATGCAAATTTGATGATTTAGTACAGACACAGGACATCCGCAGATAAGTGTTCCAATTCAACACGTTTGATAATTTATCAATATTCTCGGAGCGAAAACGTTTACTATCTAATTTTTTATCAATAAATCGTGTTGATATTTATAATTTACGTATTTTGCATATAAGGTTGTCGGAGGGAGTATTATTTGAGATTAGCAAACTTTTTGCAACTCATCTAGGCCCGGTCTAGTTTATTACATGCTTTAAATTATATTTAAGGAGCAAGAATAAATTATTTTTTGCAAACTACCTACCGCCCAAAGTCAGTGGTAAATTTATGGCTCAATATACGGGGCACGAGCCCCCCCCCCCCCTATACACAATCCAATTATAATTGGCAATAAATGTGTTTATCATTTGGGAATAGAGTATTTTCAAGAAAGTGCGAAATATTCGTTAATTTTGCAAATTTTAATTTAAATATTTTGTATTTCTTAAATATAAATACTTTAATATTTTGCGCAATATACATATTGATCTATCAGTAAAATAGATCTTAAATCTTCACACTCTTTTTCAAACTTTAATTGTTTACAGGGAGTGTAGACTTAAGATTAAATGTCCCTCAATACATAGGGTGGCAAGTCTGATTCACAACAGTGCCATTTAAACCTTTGAGTGACAGAAGTGAATGAGATACCCTTGTATTTCTAACTGATTAATTTTTTTCATTGTGTTTCTGTGTAATTTATGTAAAGACAATGTGAGAATTCAGCACGATCAAGAGAGAAAAACGAATATATTGTAGTTTAGATAGAGGTTTAAATGGTATCGTTGCATATCGAACATGACATATTTTTAAATGAAGGGCCAATTTAAAGTTTAATGCTTGTGTTTGTATCCACTTTAATTCAACTGATTTAAATAATCTTGTATCTTAAGATTTCTATCAAACCAGACATGTGCAATTTTAAACAAATGTCTGAATGAAAAATAAAAACCATGCAGCATGGCGCAGGACAATAAAGATAATATGATTCAAAGTTAACCCTTTTCTTATACTGTCATAGCCGCCCCCCCCCCTTTCAATTCTCACTTTTTATCCCATGTGGTGCCCAGGGCCCCCTCCATCAATAATCCTTTTTGGTTCTCCCCCTCACCGAGTTTTTGTCGCGAGATTTTTAATTTTAGGTGAAAATCCGTGAAATTTTGCAGCAGAGTGTTCAGTTTATCCTTGCAGGGGGGTGTCACTATCCTGTGTAAGCGTGTAGGTTTTACAAATTGTTTCTAACCAATATTTGACTCATTCAAGAGTGGAATAAGGAATGAAAGTATGAGGTTCAGGGGGGGGGTGACAACGCTATACTCCCCCCTCCCTTCTCCCACGTTTCATGATTCTGTAAAGTCCTGACCCCCTAAAGAAGACACACTATAAAGCTCCGATCTCATACAAATAAATGAAGCCATTAAATATAAACGGCTAAACAATAAACACCTGTGTTTTTTTGTCCCCTCAGCAGATGTTTACATATTGGAAGACTGGTAAAAAGTGTCGGCGGTAATAACAACATTATAAAAATGTTTCTAAACACGTTAAAAATAATAAATTAATTGTATTATCATATTCTATTGGACGTTTCATTCATTAGTCAGACTAATGTGCCAGCCACGTTTCTCTAGGTTTTTCTATTCCCAAAACGTATCTGATTGAATTTGTTTAACAAAACCAATATCTTAACCTATGTATTATATTGTAGCATCTGAAGTATGCATGTGAAGTAATCATTTTTTTCATGATTTACCATCATTCGATGCAACTTAAAAATTGTCCAATTATATCGCAGTTCTCGGCATTGTCCGTGCAGTCTCATGTTACCCCCGCGGGCCGAATGTGACAAGTTTTTTCTTTTACAAATTAAATTATATGTTTTAATAGAATATTTCTTGATTTTAATTTCTTAAAATTAGGAATGTGATATTCGTGAAGAGATGTCGTCTGAAGGGGGGCAGAGCATGCGTGTAAAGGGGCGGGCCCAGGGTTAGGTTTCATTTCTAATTAAGGATAGAATATCTGTAAAAGGGGGAGGGAAGAATGAATTTAGAGAAAGGGGGGAGGGTGGCGGAAGATAGAGGTATATCAATTTCATATTTATAGATAAATATAGATTTGAGTATACAATATCATTTCATACAGTTCTAATTTTAGAATAGATTCCAACAAATTATTCTTCAGCATCTGGATCTTTAGATAGATAGAAAGATAGATAGAAACATAGATAGACAGCGGTTAATTATCGTTAACGCTTGATCTCGATATCCAATGTGGACACTTTAAAAGATAAGGATAGTTACCTGAATAAAAGTTAGACCTGCAGGGTATCAAAGAGGATTTAAAATAATCTGCATAGATGGAGATCAATGCTTGATCCTGCAATTTACGAATCAAAAGTTCTGACTTTAGATAGATTTTAACCGGGTTAAGGTCGTCATTATAGTCTCATTCTTCGTGGTTAACCCTGTATATCTATTTATCAATCTATCTATTAGTCTTTATGGATACACGGGGATATTGATGGGACATAAAAACAACAGATAAAAGTTTGGTTTGGTTCGAATTGTAGTAATTCACCAAAATTACGTAGAAATTTCACGCATTAGACTCGACATAAACTTGGGTTTTTCTGAAATAAAAATGTTCGAACAATTAATTTGACAATTTGATCGAAAAGTTCTCTTATTACAAATTAGGCTTTTTGAAAATATTGTCCTCGTCGAAATGTTTGTTGGACCCATTTCGATAAAGCCTATTGCCTGTGTTGCAAGCAGTTTAATCCTAGGTGTTGGGTTCGAATCCCGGCTTCTCTTCCCTGTGTAGTCTCACGAAACTGTTCACATCAGAGTTTTATGAAAACCGTGGATTTTTCCTAAATTTCCGTCTGTCCGCCTCCATTAAAAATTCTACAACTCATGCAACTGGTAAATTACATTTTGAGGTTTTTGCGCGCATATTTTGTTAAAAATGGAATGTTTCAAACAAATTTGATTTTTTATTGCAAATATTGTGCATGATATTTTCACATTTGTGTTACTAAAAAGCTTAATTTTTGACATTTGCCCGATATTTAGATTTCTTCAAATGTTTAAAAAAATATTTGTTTCATATTTCAATGTACGCAGGATATGATGACACAACAAAACAGATAGAGAGATAGATAGGAAATAAATATAAAATTTGAAAAAAGATGAATGGTTTAATTCAGAGCTAAATAAACTTATGGGCGTGAAATAAATCAAAAATAGATAATCAAAAAGATTCAGAAAATATTCTGAATTAAAGAGTAAATAAATTCAATAACAATATAAAAATAATATAAAGGCAAATAGTTACTTATTTAGTTAGTTTGTTGGATAGATAGGTAGATAGCACGATAGATATAAAAAATAAAGATAGAAAGATAGAAAGATAGAAAGATAGAAAGATAGAAAGATAGAAAGATAGAAAGATAGAAAGATAGAAAGATAGAAAGATAGAAAAATAGAAAGATTGAAAGATAGAAAGATAGAAAGATTGAAAGATAGAATGATAGAAAGATAGAAAGAAAGACAGATAAAAAGATAAAAAATAGACAAGATAGAAAGATAGAAAATAGAAAGAAAAAAAGAAAGAAAGATAGAAACTAGGGTAAGATAGATAGATAAATGCAGTTTGGTTGCATCATGGTAAAGGTGCAGCTCGAGTAATCTGCAGTCCAGGATATAATGCGGGAAAACAGTGAGCACTGAGCACTGCTCAGTGAGAAGTGAGATATACCAGAATTAAAGTTAACATATAATATGGGATATCCGTGATGATAATTAAATATTTAGCTAGCATAGACAAACCAATTCTAACTAAAATATTAAACTTGTTATGCGTGGCAAATTCTCCTTTTTTCAAGTTGCAAAATTGCATCGCGCGTCTGAAAATCTTCTAATTGATATATATCCCTGCTCAATTTATGATTGTTTTTGTTTGAGTTTCACTGTATCAACTTCCTAATTATTGTGAACCTTTAAGATGCCTACCCGACACTCAGAGGTGCCAACCCAACACTCAAAAGTACCTATCCGACACTCAGAAGTACCTACCCGGGATTGGGATGTAGCTCACCCTATTAATATTGTAAGGAAGAAATCTTTGGAAGAAATTCAAGGGAAATCTTACATAATACAAAGAGAGGAAAATGGAAAGCAAATCTTTAGGTGCGTTTACAAATAAAATTATGAAAAAACACCCCCAACCCCCCTCCTTCTTTTTTTGAATTCTTTTACATAATTTTGATTTTCTAAAAATTCACAGGATTAACCAAATAAGTCAAATTAAAAATCTGCGAACATAAAATATTAAATTATAAAAACTGTCATTTCCATGTATTTTTTCTTTTTTAAGTTCTGTTAAAAAAAATTGAATTACAAAAAAGTCGTAAATTGGATTTTATTATTAGAACTTTTAGATTTCATATAATTGTGACAAGCTGTGGTTTTCTATCATGCCTGATTACAACTATTTGGGATCTTTCTGCTGGGAACCAACATATTACAGGTTGAGTAGCATTTTTACAGATTATATATCTATGATGTAAAGTAATAATCTCTGTTTGTTTTTGTGTGTGTCCGATCATAACTCATGAACCCCTGGTCCGATTTGCTTCAACTTTTGATTGGGGAACTCGATAGAACCACGGGAATGTTATAAGTTGAGAGGGCTGACTTATGTAGGAAAAAATTTCAGACAAAGCTGGGTTTCCAAGTTAGTATTTAAGGTGTGTATTAAGGTCGCTGTGTTTGGGCAAGTTTCTGCATCTGGATCAGGTTTTTTCATTTTATTGTTTTTGCTGTTTTTTTTGCTTTATACTTTTTGAAAACTCTCATTGATGGAAAAATGATAAAAGTTCTTTGCAGAACATGCATTTTTTTGCTGAAAATATCATGCTTTCAAAATCAAATAGTAATAATTTCGTTCTGGCACGAAAATCACTTTTAATAATTTATATTTTTGTTGCAGTACGTTAAGTTGTAGCTGTGTTTGTTTATTTCTTCTATTTGTAAATATACTTGGTCTATCTGGTATATACAAGGCCAGCAGCTGGTCTGAAACCAGACCGTACAATTCATACAGGTAAATATACTTGGTTCATCTGGTATATACAAGGCCAGTAGCTGGTCTGAAACCAGACCGTACAATTCATACAGGTAAATATACTTGGTCTATCTGGTATATACAAGGCCAGCAGCTGGTCTGAAACCAGACCGTACAATTCATACAGGTAAATATACTTGGTCTATCTGGTATATACAAGGCCAGCAGCTGGTCTGAAACCAGACCGTACAATTCATACAGGTAACTATACTTGGTTTATCTGGTATATACAAGGCCAGCAGCTGGTCTGAAACCAGACCGTACAATTCATTCAGGTAAATAAATTATTCAAAAATAAATTATTCAAAAATGGATTTGGATTTATCAGTTCTGTATTTATTGTAAATATAAAACTATCAACTTGTTGTTTTAGGTTTCTTTATATTTGGTTAATAGTTTACTTTCTTGTTGACATTTCAGTTCTGCCGATATGTAAGTATTTTAAAATAATAGTTTTGCTATTTTTTTATTGATTTATAATATTACCAAGCCAAAGATAACATTGTTTCTCGAAAATAACAGAACAAACCACACGTCCAGAAGTCGATAATAATAAAAATCTCTTTATTTCCTGAAAAATTGCATTTAATTATATTGGGTATAAATAATGAAAATAATGTTTGTAATGAAGAAAAATCCTTACAATCTAGAACAGGAAATGTGGGTACAAATGAGGGTACAAACAGTACTAAAAAAAGATGACAATTAATTACCAATGTAAATCACCTATTTTTTATGAATTTTGTTTTTTGCTTAACTTTTGAAAATAGAATCACTACACGTGAGCTTGTTGATTTCGTCGGAGATAAGAAGAGGGGGTTGGGGTTGCAAATGTTTGGTTTGGTGGTCTCTAAGAGAAGTTTTGAGTTAAAGACGACTTAAAACGGAGTAATGAAGGTTAGGGTCAACAAACATATGCAATTATGATTAAATTTAACCACTTAGCTTCAGCTTGTCCCTGCACACTAAAGAGCTGGTTGAACCGTCGCCACATGGTTCAACTATTATATTTAAAGAATTGTGCGCCCTGTTCAAATCCAATATTGGCAATATTTTAATTTACATGTATTAAAAGGGAATGTAGGCGTAATTTCAAATGGCTTTCCAATTATGTGGAGGTACGTACATCACGCACCCCTGACCCTTTAGTAAAAGTAAATTTAACCTAAAGTCTGACCGCGTCAACTTTGCTGCACCGGCTAGTCCTATTGAGTGTCTGCGTTATTTACCCAATTTGCGGGCGATACGGCTGCCTGTGACATGTCCGATTCCCAAGGGTACCCTAAAAGCTGCATGATATATATATTTATATCTCGTTTTTTAACAAATCACTATTTCTACTTTCAGTTTCTATAATAAAGAAACTTGCGCATTTCTTCTGCAGAAAAAAATCGAGAAATTTATCAGAATTAAACACTTTTTAAGCTCAAGAATGACAATATCTTCCGCATTATTAATAAAAGGGCATTATTTAATTGGAGGGTTACTTGAAATAACAGTTGGGTAGTCCCTTTTATATTTGGAAACCAACTAATTGGTCTTCTGTAAAATGTGATTTTTTAAAGTTTTTTTTACATTATTTTGATTTTGTAACTTTTAATTAAAACTTCAAAACGAACAAAAAATTAAAATGATGAAATATTTTGATAATATAAAAAACGTGATTAATTGATTAAGGTATCTACTTCCTCTACGCCTGGTTTATGCTCAAGAAATCCTACACTGTTCTACATATAGGAATACCCATCGTAGGTCAACAAATTACGAAGAAATGTTTTAAACAAATTACGTAGAAATGTAGAAATGTTTAAAACAAGTTACAAAGAATTGCAGAAATGTTTTGAACAAATTATGTAGAAATATTTTGAACAAATTATGTAGAAATATTTGAACAAATTATGTAGAAATATTTTGAACAAATTATGTAGAATTCCTTTAGACACCTTTCATTAAAATGTATGGAACACATTTTACGTGCTTTAAACAAATAAAGTAAAAATATGATGTTTCATGAATTTTTCTCTCTTCTTCTCTAGGTGTAGTTTGTTTATCTGGATATTTAGTTCTTATTCATCATTGGTTTCGTATACTAAACCTTACTCAACAAATCAGGTACAACATATCTATCAAAATACCTATCTATCTATACCTATATATATTTCTGGGTGTCTGTCTGTTTGTTTTTCTATATATCTTTCTATCTATCTATCTATCCATCTATGGGACTCTGTGTAGACTAAATTTCTAATGACCTTTTTTTCTGAGAATATTTCCATTATAATATCTCTGAGAATATTTCCATTATAATATCTCTGAGAATATTTCCATTATAATATCTCTGAGAATATTTCCATTATAATATCTCTGAGAATATTTCCATTATAATATCTCTGAGAATATTTCCATTATAATATCTCTGAGAATATTTCCATTATAATATCTCTGAGNCCCCCCCCCCCTTCCAAGAAAAAATACATGAACAAAACTGATAGAACCTTTATCTAAAAGTGTACTTTCATTTTTTAAAACTTTTTTTATTCTTTTTCTTTAACCTCCTCATTTTACTCTACTGCCCCTGAAATCTTGCATTCTTTACAGATTACTGTCCCTCAAAACTAAATTAGAAGCTAAAATTGCCGAATTCAGGGTTTCAGCAATTTATAAAATGTAAAGAGCCCAACAAATATGGCCGCTTGTTAAAAAAACGTGCAACATTTTAGATAAAAATGGCCGAAACATCTTTAGGATCATAAACATCCACCAGATCTACAAGAATTTCAAAAAAAAATCTCTTACTTATTTTTTACAACATCTCCCTGTATTATTAGGAGGGTTGGAGAGGGGAGAAAATTATATAAAAACTGGTAAAAATATAGGTTTGTAATATCTCTATTAGCTGGGATTTTGAGATAAAATTAACACAATTACATATTTTTACGAGGCTTTCTCGCTTCTCGGAATTTCGTCTCTAAATTGTGTAATTATTCGTAGTTATTATTTTAAACTAAACTTAATGTAAAAAATATCTCTGTTTCTATATTTGATAATTTAAACTTGTTGCTCATGCCTAGCTAATAGGGACTCAGGGAGTCTTAAATACTTTGAAATTTAAGAACTTTTTTCGATTTGACCAAGTTAATCAGCTTTAAGCTTGATTTTAAATGATATTATTCTGTAAGCTCAATTAATGCTACTCTTTTTTCGCACAGTTGATCTAGAAAATTTTGAATCAGATTTTATTTATCGACATTGTTTTATTATTGTAAAAATTAACTTCCAAGAGAATGTAAATCCTTCCATTATTTTTTTTTGTTTCATCCCCACAACGGTATTAACTATTAACCCTCCACCCTTTTATTTTTTTTCCCTTAATTCTCAAAATATTGTTTAATCTTAACTTGTTGTTTGACACCCTGTACTGAAGTTGTGTATACTACTGTTTGACACCCTGAACTGAAGTTGTNGTATATGGAACTGCTCTGACTCCCGACTGACTAATTATAGGGTCGGTATACCCCCTGTAAACCCAAAATCTGCATATTTCTACAAATTTTACCAATTTTCTCAGCAAAAAAATCATCCTGTCATGTGCGAGGAAAAGCTGATAAAAAATGTCAACCCGAAAAATTATTAAACCAGTATTTTTCTTATTATAAAATTCAACAGTTTACGATTCCCCACAGTTAGTTATCAAAAATAAGTTCGGTTGACAGCAAGTTGAGTTTCATCTTCAGCTGTTCTCTGTATCCACTTGACCGAGGGAAAACTGCGTCTATAGTTAGAATCCTGATACTCTAAGACTGCTTGAAGACTGCTGTGCAAATAATTAGTTGAATATTCTGACTCTTAAACACGTTTCAAACAATCACAAGATTAATGATCTCACCCTACTTTTCCATCCTACTTCTACCCAACCTATCCTACTTTTCCATTCTACCCTCTTTATCCTACTTTTCCATTCTACTTCTACCCAATTTATCCTACTTTTCCATGCTACTTTTCCATTCTACCCTCTTTATCCTACTTTTCCATTCTACCCTCTTTATCCTACTTTTCCATCCTACCCTCTTTATCCTACTTTTTCATTCTACCCTCTTTATCCTACTTTTTCATTCTACCCTTTTTATCCTACTTTTTCATCCTACCCTCCTTATCCTACTTTTCCATCCTACCCTCTTTAACTTACTTTTCCATCCTTCTCTCTTACACCTTTTTCCATAATACCCTTTCAGCTTATTTTTGAATAAATTATAATTTTCCAAGATTAAAACCTGAAGTTATGTTAATTGCCTGTTTCTAAATTAGGCCTGAAAGGCCTCTGTATAGGCCCAGGCATAAATCAAACTTGCGAACTTCAAGGCCTACAGGGAATTGGAACTTATAAATCAGAGAAGGGGTAGCAGATTTTTGGCAAGGATTAATTTGCAACGTGTTTTTCGTGCACGCAAATCTTGTTTCTAGGTTACAGCTGCCGCCCGTGCCATGTTTTTACTATCAATGTTTTTAGAATAAGATATCTTAAACTAATTTAGATCTTCCTTAGTTAAAATCAATTTAATAAAAGCAGTGTGTCCGTGAAAAAAAAGATTTATAATATAATTAAAATAAGTTTACATCAAAAAATCATTATTGAAATAAGTAATAATAAACATTTTCTTTTCAGTGTTTATTATTTTGTGACACCCTACCGTTCATTTCGTTACAAAATTAAATCTGATCAAATATTAAGCAGATGTTGAGCACTTAAAAATCGCCAACTTTAATTAGTAATTAATTCAAAACAATTGCGGACATTTTTTTGGTCTTCTGATTAATCTTAATTAGATCAAAACCTGGCTAGAAGCCCCTCCGGTCTGGAAAAGTCTAAAAGGAAAAAGAAATTGTATTAAAAAACAACGGAAGGGGGAAATAATTAGGGGGTAAGGAGTTACATGAGGGTGGAAACAAGGGGGCAAATTTCCTTCAGTAGTCAACGATCAATCGATCAATTATATAAACGTCTAGACGATCACCAGTATTTGATTACAAGATCAATTATATAAACGTCTAGACGATCACCAGTATTTGATTACAAGATCAATTATGTAAACGTCTAGACGATCACCATTATTTGATTACAAGATCAATTATATAAACGTCTAGACGATCACCAGTATTTTATTCCAAGATCAATTATATAAACGTCTAGACGTTCACCAGTATTTGATTACAAGAAAAATATAAAAATGATGACCACACATGCCTACTTTTTAGTGATTTAAACTAATAATAGTATTTATATATAACCTATTTATTTTCCTATTTTGATCTAGTGTGTAGTGTCCGACTTTCTATTTCAATAGCAAAATACGATTTCTTTATTTATGATTTATGCTTCATATTCTCTGAAAGGATATAAAATGTCATTGCACATCATTATACGTTTTATGTAAAAAAATAACACTTGTAAAAACTGAGTGGATTTGTTTGAAAAAAGTTTTTGTTAGTTTGTATGTTTGTCCGATACTATGACTAATGTCACATGTGTTTACATGAAATCTATCTCATTTAACTGAAAATGCCGATACTAATTTAACCAACACATAATTAGACGTTAACCCCCCCCCCCCCCCNCATTTAATGAACCCAACACCCATTTTCATCTTTTTTTCATGAAATTTCAAGAGGCTCTGCAAACATGTAAGAAGTTTACTTTAATTACTTACTGCCATATATCGATGACTCTGTAAGTAAAATTAGGCCTGAACGATTTTTCGAGTTGTTCGATAACAAACGATAAACTTTGCTTCGTCCAGGTTTATATCATCTTTTAAAGCCAACGTTTTGTTTACTTTACGATTAAAGAAAACGTTTAGAGAATTGTGAAAAATGTTAATTTTTGTCAATAGAAAGAAAGTAGAAACAGTTTAATTGAAATTCTGTTAATTGGGTAAAGAAATTGAGTCTTTGCCATACAATTATTTAAATTTTTTGTAATCTTAATATCTTTGCAACCTAATGTTGTGAAACTTTGATATTTATAAGTTAGGTTATTTGATCTAACAGAATTTATATATTGAAATATCTATGATCTACAAAATTGGGTTGCAAGGATATAGGGATTATAAAATCAGAGTTTGTGGCAAAGACACAATTCCTTTTGTCAGTGACCAATAAATCCTGGCAATACCTTAGATTACATTTTGCTGCAGAAATCCAACAGTCATTTGCTAAAACATTTTAGGCACTCTTTAGATAAAAGTGGTGTTTTTAGATTTTTTTTCATAAAATAGGTCTTCTGTTAAATCCAATCTAAAACATTCATTCTTTTAAATGTTAAATGACCCCTAAAACCCCCCGAATGTCCCCAAAATAATCCTTGTTTCCCTCAAAACACCGGGAATTGAGGCATCGGCTGCCATGTGCCCCTTGTCAATTCTAATCTTCAGAAATCTTTAAACATTTCCTACGAATTTAATGAATGTTTTTCCATCTTATATTCAACATATTTTAATAATCTGCAATATTATATCTTGTATTTTCAACCAATCAGAATCCTGGCTTATCCACCATTCTCGTTAAACATTATGAGCATTAGTAAANTTCCCTTCCACCCTGTTATCCGTGGATTAACTGCTGTCTTGTGCTTGACTGAAGTCTATTTAAGTAAAATTAATAGGAAACGAGGTTTATTGGTCTCTTAAAATTCAATCCAGCAATTAGCTCCCATTTTATTCTTTAGCATAGGTATATATTGAGGGTAGAGGTATATGGAGGGATATAAAATCAATTTAAACAAGAATTTTTACATCCCTACCATCCTTTAGCTGATCTAGGGAGGGGAGAAAGCTGGTTAATCTACATTCTTAGTGATATAGATACATGATCATTAACATTTTAATTCAACTAAACTACCGTTTTAAAGGGAACCATCGCCATAAGTTAAAATACCCTTTAAAATGTGAGAAATTTATTTTTTAATTTTACACGTTAAAAGGGTCTATAATTGAGGGTTTTTATCAATACAAAATTATTTTTAAAAATTCATTATTTTGCGCAATCTGATTTCTTACTGGCACGTACTGTAGAATATAATATAACGTAGACATATTTTCAAGCGAACCTCAATTTAAAAAAGAGTTTCATGTCCGGTTCACAACGGTACCCTGTAAACCTTTGAATTATCAAGGCTGAATGAAATATCCTTATTTTCTCGTTAAAAATTATTAATTCTCGATTATAAGCTAAACACACGAATATATCTTCCTTTTTATTGATCAGACAAATGTTTGAAGTTGTGAATCGACTACTCTGTATATATGACGTTTACAGATTTCTTTTAAAATGTAATATACTTAAGATTCGAATCACAGCATTTCTGAAACTTTCTGAAAAATTAATATTAGCATTTAAATGGCCAAAATTATATCTCCATGCATATGCAATGTTTTACAGAAACACATCGAAATTTTAATTAAAACAGATTAAATACCCTAGACTTCGGTTTCTTACAAATTTGAATCTTATCGCGTTTTGGTCTTTAATTCATTGATCTAAAAAATTACGAAGTTGTCTTATTATATCTTTTTTTATAAAATCGCATCCTCCGAAAATGAAATAGGATAAAAGAAAAAAAAAGCGGAGGTTTTTTCTTTTATTGGTCCAGTTATAATCGAATTGAACAAGAACCAAAACATGAAAGGATTTGAGCCACAAATTCTGATATTCTATAAATCCCTATATCTTTGCAACCATATATTTCAAACTTTATATTCTGTCAGATCAAATAGTGTAGGTTTGAAATATATCAGAGTTTTACACCATCAGGTTGCAAAGATAAAGGGATTATAAATATTGAGACTCAACTCCTTTGCGAGTATAGAGTTTAAAGGGCACTGTTGTGAATCGTCAGTGTTCTTTTTGATTATGAAGGGGGGTTACTTAAAATACATTAATTCCCAAACCTCTCTCACGGTGTTTCCATCTTGTTTATATTCCGAAAACATTTTAATTTGGTTTCTGCAGTTTAAAATTTAATTAAGAATCCGCTGTGAACATTCACACGGGCCGGGGCCAGCTTATGTAAACATAAACATAAACACAGGCAGAGACAGATACAAGCGTTGTTTATACTGCTAAATTGAAATCTCTGTTCACTGCAAATACATAGATAAATTCAGGCATTTTGCCTTCTTTACATCAATACCAGTTTTTATACAGCGGTCATTCATTCATTCTTCAACTGTATTCATCCTGGAGCTTTATTCAATTCATTTTCATTCATTCATCCTGGAGCTTTCTTCAATTCATTTTCATTCATTCTTCAACAGTATTCAATTTATTTCTTTATTCAATAAGTTTTTTTTATCCTTTTACTCCTCATCCATTCATTTTGTTTTGATAGCTAATTTATTCATTACTTTATTCATCAGAATATAGGGTTTCATCATCAACTTAACAATTGAAAACAGTTTAAAAATTATCTTTAAAAAACAAACTCTGTATTGTTATAAAGGAACTGATTTCTTGCCTCAAAATCTAATCTTTTAATCTAGGTTGGTCAAGATATCTAGGTTGGTCTTGATATCTAGGTTGGTGTGGATATCTAGGTTGGTCTGGATATCTAGGTTGGTCTGGATATTTAGGCTGGTATGGATGTCTAGGTTGGTCTGGATATCTAGGTTGGTCTGGATATCTAGGTTGGTCTGGATATCTAGGTTGGTCTGGATATCTAGGTTGGTATGGATATCTAGCTGTTGGTACTGTAGGTCTGGATATCTAAGTTTAAGTTTAATGTCTGCAAGAAGAATGTTTGAAAGGAAATGTCTGTGGTTTATTATGATGAGAAAAGGTGGAGTTGGAACGCCCTCTAAACACTACAGGCGCCACCAGAGAGGAATCTAGAATATTACCAAACCTGTAATAAAATACATATCTTATTTTTCATTTGGTAATCATCAAAGATGCTGATTCGATTTTCCTAAAGGAATTGAGTCTTAGCCACAAACTGAGATTGTATAATCCCTATATCTTTGCAACCTAATTGTGCACGTGTAAACCTTTGATATTTTAAACTTAGATTATTTGATCTAACATAATTTTTAGTTTGAAATATCTAAGACCTTGGGTTGCTAAGATATAAGGATTATAAAATATGAGTTTATGGCAAAGACTTAATTCCTTTGAATCTGTCAATAATCTTTGATTTTTAAAACATTTAAAACTTTTGAAATTAAACCTTACAAGTTTCTCGAAGTTTTGATAATGAAAATTTGTCCGACAAAATTCAAAATTTTATTTTAAGCTTTCTTTTGGTTCTCCGCTGGTTCTTTGGCGGTGGCTATGTTTGAGCTCCATGAATTAAAGAGCGGTTGGGGGGGAAAGGGGGGATGGGGTTTGAATAGAAATGAATATATTTCATATTTAATCATCTCAACACACCGCCTGCAGATATATTTGTCCAATGGTTAATCAAATCAGTATTCTCTCTCTCATCAAACCGACACATCATCAACTCGTAAATTACTAAAGGGCTCTCTGGTTTTTGTATTCTTAGTTTTCATTTTACATTTCAATAACTACCCTTTCATCTTGGGTCACATTATTTTGACTTTCTTGAACACTAGCTGGAGGTTTATAATATTAATCATCGTTACTCCCGCCGTTTACTTGCGCTTGATTTTAAGTCACAATTTTAGCTGAAATGCCCGGTGTTACCTGTAGAAATTCAAAATCTCAAACGAATTTGAGCCTGTGTTACCCTCAAAAATTTCAGCCGGTTTGGTCCAGCCGTTTGGCCAGCTATAGCTAACATATATATGAGCGAACAGCTATATTATAAAAAAGATGTACCCTTGCTTCATAATGTTTCACAACAATTTTTCTTGTTTATAGTTACACTGTTTTAAAATTTGTTGAAAATGAACATTGAACACTGACTGTTTTCATGTTATCTTAAACTGTTATCATGTTTTTTAAATTGGTATTATGTTACTGTAAAAGGAACGTTAACACCCTGTTCTACAACTATTATAAAGCTATTGATACACCCTTTTTGAATTTAATCTAACAGCCTGTTTTCATGTAATGTGCTCAAAGATCCAGACAGTTATAGACATTGTGCATCAATTTACAAGACTGGGTCGACTTTGAAGTGTAGCAACACCCTTGACATGTACATTTGAGATATTCAACGAGCTTGTTTCTTGCTTTAAAAGATACAATTGGCAAAATACTGATGGTTTTGCTGGTTTAGAATTACTGTGGGCTGAAACACCCTGTGTTTCTCTCCTTGTTGAAATCTATAGAGATTAGTTCTGAAGATAGTTATGAATCTCATCTTATACTAAGGATGGGTTGGATGGGGGTGTGAGGGGGGGGAGAGGAGAGGGGTGTTAGATCATGCAGTGATCAGCAGGATCCTGATTTACCTTTCTTAAAGCCGAACCCATCCCTACCACTAATGATACTGTTCCCAGGCTTATTCTAAACCTTTGATCAAAGCCAAGCCTTTTCTAGGTCTGCCCTAGGTAGGGGATAGATAGATAAATGGGTATATCAGGTATATCTCGGGAGCGGATCTAGTGACATCTTGTCAAACCAAATCAATCTGAATTAACAAAGGATTTAGAGAAATGGGTCAAAGAAGGGAAACCAAAATTAAATACGATGAATGGACAAGGAGAAGAATATAAAATTCGTCAATACTAGCTATACTAACCAGATTTGGTGGACATCTAACTTAAATAGCGTCAAACGCCCCCTTTCTCCTCGCCTCGCAAAATTGTATGTTTAAATATTGGTATGAATATATCCTTGAATCTACAAAATAATTTTGTACTACGTTACTAAATTCTTTTTTCCTACCTACTGAATATGATATGTTTATTTCAAAGTAACTAAACACTTGTCCCAAGCCCTAATTTCCGAATGATTATATATTTGCAACCTGATTGTGTAAACCTTTAAATTATTTATACTTTGACTATTAGATCTATAACTAGAAGTACGTATTCATAGTTAGAAATATCAAGTCTACGAAATCAGGTTGTTAAAATAAATGAATTGAGTCTTTGCCACACACTCTGCTTTTCTAAATTCTATATATTAGGATTCCAATGTCGTAGACCTTAGATATTTAAAACTATGAATTCTGTTAGATCAAATAATATAAGTTTGAAATATCAAAGATTTACGACATTGGGTTCCAAAGATATAGGGATTATAAAATCAGAGAATGTGGCAAAGACTCAATTCCTTTAAGTTAAAGGGAAATTGGTAAGTTCCTTTTATCAATTATTAATTATAACACTGGTTTTGTATTCAAGGTTAAAAAGAATTTGATCTTTCAACTCAAACTGTAGATGATACTGTGCAGATACAATTTAGAATATAAATATTTATGCAGAACAAGAGAAAAATGTCAATTTTGTGTATTGAACCCAACTATGTTGATACAAAGTAAATTCCTGTTACACAACTACATATTATGTGTGTGTCAAAGTAAATGGTTAAATGAAACTCTAGGAGCTAGAAATCTGAACTAAAGGTTCCCTGGAGCTAACCTAGGACAAGGATATTTTATACTTCCGTCAAATATTCTCAATATATCTACTGTTGTTTCAACTTCATTTTCCAGGATACATACTTCACAGCAAAATATCCATATATTGTCACCATACACTCAACAGGACACTATAGGATATGTTACAAAGACGGGGAGGGGGGGGGGGCTAGACCACCCACTGGTAACTTCATTAGAATATAGGAAACCTTATCCATAACTTCCTTCCTTTAAGTATTGTAATGGATTATATATATAGTGACCTGTAGTGAACCTATTAGAAAACTCATTGGTCACTGGTCAGCCTTCATACAACACAATATAATAAATGTACTACACGGATTCATTCATTTTATGCTTTCTTAAAAGAAGAAATATGTGATGTAATTTAAATTCAATTCATTATCGTTGTGTATTTAGGAGACATTTAACTAATAAATATTTCGAACAAAAAATTAAAATCTGGGAAAGTCTTTCTCTTTCTCGTTCTTAGAAGCAGACTTGTCCTCCTTCTTCTCAGAATACAAATTCTCAATTGTATCCTGGAACAATCCTGGCTCATTTTCAGACTTCTTTCCAGACTTTTCATCCTTCTTCTCAGGTAGAACCTTTTTCATAGTTTCCTGGAACAATCCTGGCTCTTCAGTCTTAGAATCAGACTTGGCATCCTTTTTCTCAGGAAGAATGGAATCAAGAGTGCCCTGAACCCAACCTTTCTCGTTGCTCTTAGACTCAGACTTGTCATCGCTTTTCTTTGGGAGAACCCTTCCGATAGTATTATCAAAAAAACTCTTCTCGTCCGTCTTTGATGAATCCTTATCCTTTTTTTCTGGTAGAACCTTCCCGAGCTGTTCCTGAACCCAGGTCTTCTCTGCAGGTTCATCAGTCTATAAAATGTTTCATGATTTAATGTTATGTAATCTTAGACCAGACTTAATAAATAGCAAGACATGGTTGAACCGCACAAGCGTGGTTCGAGTACTTCTCTCCAGCTTGAACTGTCGCACAAGAGAAGGGGTTGAACTAAATCTGTGCGGTTCAACTACTTCATACTATTCATTAAACCTGGTCCCTGTACAATTTTATCTAAAATTTGTTTAGTTTGTATTGAGATTTTAAAAGGTTTTCGAACGAACTTTGATCATCAATAAAAGAAACTTCAGATTTTATTTTCTAAATTATTTTTTTGATTAGCGCTTGCCTCGCTTTCTAACTATTTATACCTTACACAAAACTTCACAAAATTCAAATATTATACTGGCAACGGCTGGCAACTTTTGAATGAACCTACTTTCACACCAAGAGTTGAAAATCTTTATTCAATGATTTACCTTCTTTTCTGATGTAATCATATTCTTAGCACTACTTAACGTCTTCTCCAGAGATTGTTCAGCTCCCTGAAAAACATACATTTTTATTATAGATCAAAACAGAAGTTTGCAAATTAAATGAATAAAACTAATTCTTTACTGAGCACAATTTCTTTTAATTTGAAAATTGAAATATTTAAGGAGATACTTTTAACCTTGATTGTGTCCTTAGCAGTCTCCATGGTATCCTTAGCTTTGTCCATGACCATTCTAAACGCAAATGTTATTTATTATATTCTCAAACCCAATTTTGATTAAATCTTGTTAAAGAATCTTATTGTTAATAGTTCTTGATAATTTCTCTAGTTTTAAAGCTATAATATTGCAGTTTACTATGTCTATTATAAAATATTAACGTTTTCATGATGTATCTCGGTATTTTTTAACTTACGTTGTTAAGCTGGCATCATCGTCACATTTCTCTGAAGTCTTCTTCTTCTTATCGTCTCTGTTGGCCGAACCAAGACTGAAATAATAAATTAGATAGGTCCTCATTATCATATGTATGAAAATTAATGATGTGTTTGTATTATTTCATAACAAATTAGGCAAAAAGCAATTATTTCCTTGATTTTTCAAGTTTGTCACAGTAAAATCAGATTTAAAAGCAATCTGTGAATAATTTCATTTGGTTTTTTCCTGTAAAATACAAAACAATCCTTTTTACTCACCTGTAGGTAGTAAAACCAACTGCAGCTGTTGCAATTGCCATTCCAATTCCTGCTTTAACTAGTTTTGACATCTTTCTCCCGTGATCGGATCGGAAATGGAGTTCCCGGATTTTCAAAACCGAGTTCCCGCATTTTCTCAAAAAATGTTATAAATCATAGAATAATGACGATGATGGAATTCTTCAATAGATTTCGGCAGTCTTGGGTTGTAATTTTAAGTCCAGTAATCCGTAAAGAATGCTTAAATCTGTCCGAAGCCAGAGCACTTTTTGTTCACAAGATTTACGTTTCTTTTGTTCGCCTATGTTGTGACATTAGAATCCTAGCACTCAAATAACATTTTGAATTTGTCATCTATGAAAACTTTAAATTTCAAAAGTTGGGTTATTTCTTGATTTTAATGAAATACAAACTTTAAAATGAAACCTAATATGGCTGTCGGCGTTTATTAAATTTAATACCGTGTTAATACAACAAATATGAAATATTTAAAACAAGAGGTTTGAAATTTACACGATTAAATAAGTAATATAATTATTTTCTTAAATTCTAGAAGAGGTTCTTTTATTTTGCTGAAGCTTTATGCGAATGGTTTGCATGTGCTTGTTTTGCACCCCTTTTCTTTGTGCAAAATTTTTGCGTTTCTCCATTGTCATTTAGTGAATACATGTCTGCAGTCTCGAATAGAAATTAGATAGATAAAAAGATAGCGTCAGAGGAGAAAAGTACGTTGCTATCGCAAAAATTTTTGAAAGGATGTTTACATTCAATAGTTTTTAAGTCCGGAACTTTAAACCAATTTTTATTAATATTACAATTTCATGTGGGTTTTACATCTATATATTGTAGACTTTGTAAAGAAAAACAACTATAAATAATTGAATTCATAATTTGCTGAGGATTTCCGATTTGTTTGTGCAATAAAGCTAATTAAGAGTCGGTGATCATTTGCATAGATTACAAATTGTGTAAACGAGGTGTGACTTAACGGTCAAACTTATCTCAAAGATCAACGGGTCTAAATGGTTTTATTGTATATGCCTCCTCTATTAGTTTCCTTATTGATTAATTTCAAGTTGGTAGCTTAAAGCTCGCCATTCACCCATTGTTGTTGTTGGAAATTAATTATCAAAGTTGTTCCCCGGATCCATCCAAAGTTATCATCATGTTACCAACATCTTACATGTTACTCAGGACTACCATTGGATCTATCCAAAATTAGCCATCGTTCCATGAAATAATTGTTTAATTCAAAATATCCACTGGTCACATAACTGTTATTAACCATTGATATTTCACGAACAGTGGATCCGTCCCAAATTACTAGTTGCTTTGAATAAGTGCCAACATTGTTGAATAGGTCAGGGTATCGTAAACACTAAGTATGGTTGTATGACATGTCAAGCTGTGAAATTGTTTTCTTTGAAGCACCGACAAGCAGATATTACAAGCAGATATTTGCCTACTGTTATAGTTTACAATACCTAATAGTGTTATAAAAATATTAATATGCATAGAATAAAAGGTTTTATTACGATATTTTGATGTTGCTTCGATGCAAATATGACTGGCCCAAGGTTTCGTCTATAAGGTGAACCCTTAATGGATGTTGTTCGAAAATTTTAGAAAGATAAAACACTTTTTCCTCTTATTTTTCTAAATATGTGCTACAATGATAACCGGAAATTGGAAGACGACATTATAGCAATACTGTATGTTTTGTTGTATCTAAGCAAATGGTCTTATACTAGACACTCATAAAATCGCTAAATTAGTAAAATGGCTTTGTTTACACTCCACAATGTCTCATGTTCATTGGACTTAATAAGTTATAATTGGATTATAAAAGTCGTCTTCCTATTTCAGATTTTTCTAGTTATTACTTTATGCTATAAGGTAACCCACAAAGGATGAGAATTTATTAAAGATCTAAATTAAAACCAAATTTTAATGCTATCAAAACAATTCAGTAAACGCAAAGAAGGAAAAAATGAACAATTGCAACAATTTTTTAATTTCTGAAAACAATTAAGAAAATAAATCGTTTTATGCAGTCTATGATAGGGGACCCTTTACTATAGCCATTGATGATGTTCTAATATTTATTTTATTTGTAATTTACAGTTATTCGTAATTCATTTAATTAGTTACTAAACGACGAATTTTTCTACCTCTGCACTGATGAGATATACTGCTTTGCTATCTTTTACAGTAGAAATCCATGTAAGCAAATTTCTAGAAAATCTGCAATTGGAATTCATCATTTTTAATAAAGAAAAAACAACAAAATTATACTTCAATCATTATTAAAAGAAATATATGCACTAATCATTAATTTTTTTATCCCAACTTTCTAATAAGTGTTATGAATACTTACTGTATTATTTAGCATTAAAATATTTATATTCTCATGCAGTTAGATTGATAATGATATATAAATTGAACTGTTAGAAGCTGTTGTTTTCACGGCTTGGTGAGGAACAATGGTTACTAATTGGCAGCAGGTTAAATTGGTAATCTAATCCTAAACCAAATATTCTAGAGATTCAAATATGAAATAGGTAAGTGTAAAAATTTTCATTAAAAAATCATACAAGTAAAAACATATGTTTTCTTGATTTTGAATTGGTTAAATCTGGTTCTACGTTAAACAGACAAGTAATGCAAATTAGTTTGCAATGGTTTGCATCAAGTGAAAGGAATTTTATTTGCAAGGGCAGTGGAGGAACTCTCCCTTGGGATTTCCTGAAAATTTTAACCAAAGAGAACAAAAAAAATGCAAAAATATTGTTTAAAGAAATCAAGAATATCCATGCAATAAAGCAAAATGTCAGATTATGGGTTTATGTTACCAGCCAGTCCTCAAAACGATTTAATCTATCTATCTATCTAGCTATCTCTCTATCTATCTATCTATCTATCTATCTATCTATCTATCTATCTATCTATCTATCTATCTATCTATCTATCTATAGTAGATGTTAGTTCCACATTTATTGAAAATATATTTCGGTCTGGGTTGACCCACGTCAGTTCTTGAGATTGTTTCTTCACAAAGATTAAAAACAAACTCAATGACTTTTAAGACAGACAAAATAGTAAGTAAGTAAGTAATTATTCATTTATGAAATATTAATAAAAATTGATCAATTTTAAAAGTTCAAAGACATGGTTAGAACTTTAATCTATTCTAAATATGCATAAACGCGGGAATAGGAATGTCCGCAAATTAAACTCATGCTTGTTCTAAACCTATCATCTGCGAGGGGGTCCAAACCAAACCAAACCAAACTACAATCCTGGAAATCCAGTTGAAATAAAATCTATTAGAATAATGGCGGACGTATTCAAATTTTGAAGAAATCCTGCGGATTTTCTAGATTAAATGGGCGGATCCAGTTTCTTTATTGGACGGATAGGGTTCCTAATCAGAATAGATATTTCAAGAATGAAGATTCATTTAGTTATCTCTCAATCTTAACTTCAGATTGATTATAGTATAGCCTAGTAGGAGAGACTTGTTTAAATTCCTTGCTATATGTTTTTAGATGAATAATACAATACAATTAATCCCAATCAATGGATTTTAACAAGAATGTTCAGAAACTGGAGATTGAATAAATGTTATTTTTCATTTGTAAACGTTTCATAATAGAATTATATGCAGAAAAAAAAACTGTTTCTAAATTTTTCTTATCTTTGAGAACTGATGTTGTACGTTTCAATCAAGAAGGAATTCAATTGTCAAAGTTTAGAGTATCAATCAGGTTGCAAAGAAATATGGATTAGAAACTTGAAGTTTATATATATTTAAAAAGAATTTGAACTAATAAAAAGTTGCAATATTTCATCATTTATGGTTTTTAAAAACTTTCAATTAATTTTTATTTTATGAATAAAATAATTTGAAGCACTGTGATGTACTTTGCATACACACGAAACACACATTAAATACATCGCAAAGGAATTGAGTCTTCGGAACAAAATCAAATATTTAAACCTCGAAATCTCTAGAACCCGAAGTTGTAAACCTTTGATATTTCAAACTCAGATTATTTGATCTAACAGAATTCATAGTTTGATATATCTAAGGTCTGCAACATTTGGTTCCAAAGATATAGTGATTAGAAAATCAGAGTTTGTGGCAAAGACTCAATTCCTTTGTTTCCAAATAGTTGTCGTTGCCCTTTGTTTAAACTTAATCTGGCAGCAAGGCTGGTTTGAGATATGACATTTCATTTCAAACTTTGCTCTCATCTATTGAAACTATGTGACAGAATATCCAGGTGTATACCACGTGGAAAATTTGTATATATCTTCATGCAGTCCAAACGCGCTTTATAATTCTTGTTTTCGTTTCTATTTTTCTTGTTTAGCTTCCATGTTATTGCCATGTCAAGGGAGAGCAAACTGTCAGCGGTCAATGAAAATGAACCTTACTTGTTCATTTTTTCCTTGCAGTCTTTAAACTCTTTTTTCTCTGACTGCGTATTTGAATCTCTGTCTGTTTTCTCATTTCAAAATGTAGGTAAATATACAGTATAAACGTCATTTTGGCAAATATGAATGTTAAAAGTATTAAAAATAAAAAAATAAAAATTCAGTATTTTTATGGGATATTAATTTAAAGGACTTTTCGGAAATTTTTAGAAATTTAAAACTCAGGGCCTAGGACTTCAGAAAATGGAGACTTTTTACAGAAGATTTTATGTCCAGGTTTTTTTTGTCCAGAAAATTATTTTCCTGGGACTTTCTTACATAGATTCCAAAACTACAGAATATATGTACATGGATGTTCATACTTAGAGTAGTACGGGTTGTACAGTACTTTATACATTGGTGGGACCAAGGTTTACACTTTACATTTCTTGTAACTGTAAATAGTTTTGCATCATTTACTTCTTCACAGGATAGTTTGACATTTCAGTATTTGGACTTCACATCCATCCATCTAGATACTTATCTTTCCATCTATATCTATACATCTATTCATCTATTCATCTATTCATCCATATTTATCCAGCCCTCTAAGATCATTTAAATATGTAAGTATGTTAGAACTTTATATCGTGTATGTTAGAATGAAAATTATCTTAATTCATGATCAAGACG